TGATATGACTTGTAGTGAAGAGAAAAATCAACTAAAGTGACATGCAGGGTAGAGTTAGCAGAGCAGAACTTTAAACTAGTTGTTATAACTATATTTCATATACTCAGAGAGCTCAGTAGAGACAGGAATTGTAAAAAGGATACAAAATGAACTTTCATAGAAGAACACTTGGGGTGAAAAAATACACTGAACTAAATTAGCAACAAATTAGACATTGTAGAAGAAAAATATTAGTTAACTCAAAGAAATAGCTGAATGAACCATCTGTGGTAAAGTACAGAGAAGAGTCAAGAGAAGGAAATGGGTATTGTAGGAGTTGTAGGCTAACCATAAGTAGTTGCAACCGTAGAACTCAATAGAGAGAAGAAAGGGAGAAAAAGAAAAAATGTTAAAGAAATAATGGCTGAAAAATTCCAAATTTGACAAACGCTATCTAATAAAAAAAATCAACAAATCCCAAACACAGTAAAGGTTTGAAGAAAACTATCCTGTTACCTCTTGATTAAATTGTTCCAAATCAGTAATAAAGAAATGTCATAAAAGCAACACGAGAGAAAAAATAAAATATATGCAGAGGACAAAAATGATACTGATAGCATATTTCAAATTGAAAATAATTTAAATAAGATATAGTAGTTTAACTCCTTAAAGACTTACAGGAAAAAAATCTATCAATCTATAATTTTATATGCTGTGAAAATATCTTTCAAAAAAGGTAAAATGAAGACATTTTAGAGATAAAAAAGCTATAAGATCTACCACCATCAGAACAGTACTAAAAAACATGTTAATAGTGGTCCTTCAAGTGAAAAGATAGTATCAGATGGAAATATGGATCTACATAGAAGAAGAAAAAGCATGAGGAATAGTATGCAGTATATCTATAATATTTACATCTTATTACTTAAATTTCTCCAAAAATAACTGTTAAAGGAGACATGGAAAAAAAATCACTGTAATATTCTTAACTGTAAAATGGTATATCACTTGAAGATAGGCTTGAAAAAGATGTGTAAAAGATCTCCATGATGTAAATTCTGAAGCAATCATAAACTAACAAAGAATTATGAAAAATAAGACAATAAAGGAGATGAAACGGGAATATTAAAAACTCCTCAGGAAATAAAAGTGTAGCTCAGTAGTAGAGTGCCTAGCTTGTGAGAAGCCCCAAGTTTGATCCCCAGCATGGCAAAAACCAAAATGAACAAACAAAAACGCCAACCAATCAAGCTCATACAAGACAGGAAAAAACAAAAAGGAAAAAGTGAAGGACAGATGTCCAATAAAAAACATTGTGCTACCTCTCAACCACTACCAAAAGTGATATACATTGATTTTTGTGTTGACTTTTATAATAATTATATTTTATAATAACTATACAACACAGTATTAGGAATTTCATGGAAGTTACATTTATTACCTAAGACAAGCATTGTAGCTACTTGCTCAAGGTCAGCCAAGCTTTATCTCCCTTTACTTACACTGTATACAGTCATTTTGAGTCTAAAATCAGCTTTAATAATCTTCAGGCCTCCCACACATATCATTTGATATACTTGACAGTTCAGTTGTTTTATTTATTCTTTTATGAGATTAAGCTCCCCCTTTGATGGTGTTCCCTCTGTATTCATTGACTTTTACAAACCCCAAATAAAAATTTGTTGAAAAGCATGATTTAAAACTCCCCCTCCTTGCCATGCATAAATCACAATGGAGCTTAAAAGACATGCCAATTTGGGAAACAAAGGTGCTTTTGTGTTTGAGTCTACATTCCCAGTGTGATCTAATGCTAATACCTGCTTGTATTGATATTCATGTTCTTGATGTTTAAGGGAGACTTTTATAGAACAAAATGGAAGGTTTTGTTTCATCATCCCTTCAAGGGAGAAAAATCAGAACCCTCCCCCCACCAATCTCTAGTTAAACTCTGAGGTCCTCTGAAATTTACACTCTGTGCAAAGAGAAACCCTGAAATTTGTGTGGCATTATACTCTTTCCTGTTTTAGCAATTATACTCAAAGGCCAGTAACTAAGTCTGGTAGCAAAGGACCTCAGGTGTCTATCTTTTTTTTTTTTAGTACCAGGGATTGAACATGGAACCTTGCGCTTTCGAGGCAGGCTGTGGAACCACTGAACTAAATCCCCAGCCCCATCTATCTTTGAATTATAGAATCATAAAGAAGTGGTCCAAAGATCTTGTCTTCCTGGTGATGACAAACAAAATTACCTCCTTGGGTATTCACTGGCTCTTCCTTCCTTCTTTATAGTTTGGGAGGATTTTCTATTTCTGGGCCCTTTTGTATGCTATAAGTAAGGAGGACATTTGTTGTCTTAATATTGAAAATGGCAGAAATTTACTTGTGGTGGAAACATAGCTCTTAGCTACTGCAATAGTGATATATATTGATTTGATTGCCTGGACCTCTCTGATGAATGAATGGAGAAGAATAGACAATAGTGGGCATAGGCTAGTTTGAAAGAATTTAGAGGATTTTTTAAAAAGTGAAAGAGAAATTTTGTGAGCGTCTGCCCGGCTTGAAAGAAATGAAGACATGAAATGTGTTATGAACAGCATTTTCTCCCAACAAGGTTTTGGTTACTATTAGATCAAATATTTTCGACTGTTGAGCTGATGGTGTGGAGTGAGATGGCACCTGAGACTCACGTGTTTGACTATGATTGTCCTTGTTATAATTTAAGAGGCAGTGGGTATTGCTAGGGTTGTTGGCTCTGGCAGCAAGTCTCAAGGGCTGTCAGACAGAAATTTAACCCTTCAAATTGGCCTCATCTTCTCCTTCAGCCCCTACTGCCTTGGGCTTGGAGGAATTAGTTTGTTCTTATGAGATATCTTTCTCAGTGCCTGAGACATATGTTTCCTCCCCATATAGAATATCCAAGGGATTGTTCCCTCCCTGTGTCCACCTGCCCTTTAGATCTTACAGAAATGCATCTCAAGGTTTTCTGCTTTCCAAGGTGCTGACTCCCCTACCTTGTTTATTCCTGAGTAACTGCAGTGGAAGTATTTCAGGATGGAAGGGGCGGAATGAGTTGTACCTTCAGGCTCACACAATTGTCTTGAATTGGAAACATCTTTTACTTTTTGTTTATCAGTGAAAAAGAAAAAAAGAAAGATGAAATAAAGTATCAAGAAATTTGGAGAGTCATTACCTAAAGGAAAATGATCTGGAAGTGTTACATTACACATGGCTTAAGGAATGTGGTTCATGGGGCATGTGTGTGGCAAAAATTGTGTCTCATATCCTGACTGTGGGACCCACTGTGTGACAACAAGGCTGCTGGAGGACAGAACAAGGAGCAGGGAGAGGAGCTCTGTGCCAAGCATGTAGTCCTTTCATTTAATACCAAAATGTAGTTTGTATGGGTTAATTAGATAGAAGTGTTATTTAGATTCAGGGTTTTTATACAGAAAATTCTAGCACCCAATGTGGTGCACAGTTCTCTTGGAAGTAAGACTATTGTTTTAAAAATGATCCCTGTGTGTTCCTACCAGCGGGGGTGGGATGAGGTGGGGTTTGTTACTACGTTTTAGGTTTGGTGCCAAGCTTTCCGCAGCCAGCAGCTCATTTACTTCTTATAACAATCCCGTTACGCCATTGATAGGGACAGAATCCAGGCAGTGAGACTTCCAAGCCCCGTGCTTATTCTCTTTCCACTTTCACGCAGCCACAGGACGGTGCCATGTAGTCACCAGTTTTGCGCAGGTAGTGAAGTCTGCCCCGTATCATTCCTTGGGGCACCTGAGGGAATCTTGGGGGCCCTCTGTGGGTATTCCTGTCTCCATCTTTATCTTCTCTGCTTTTCAGCGCGGTAGGTAATTAGTTTGTGAGCTCTCGTTCTGGACGTGGTTAAGTTGAAAGAACACATAAAGAGCAGCCAACTCGGTTTCTCATTAACTGTGTGACTCTGAGCAGGCTCCACACCTTTCCAAGCCTCATTTCCCCCACAGGTGAAGGGGAGGCGAGTAGGCCCAAGAGGAAGGGTTGTCACCGGGGGTTGAATGTCATCAGGTCTGTGCTTGGGACTCAGTGGCTGCTCCGTAAACACTTGTATCTGTATACTCTGAGAATAGAAATTGTATCTTGCTTATCTTGTTCCCCCGGCCCCTGGCACTCAGTGGGGACAGGGAGAACAGCGGTTCTATTAATGGCATGCCAGAGAAAAAATGTTTCAACCTTGTCAGGTTTTAGGGATATTTCAGGCAGAACAGTGCTGAAGGAGGAAGCTTCCGTTTTGCCTTCCCCAGATCCTGGCAGTCATGGACGGGGAAGAGTGGCCAAAGAGCGGGTGCCTTGCTGATGCCTGAGTCCATGCGGTGAGGTTGGTACCTGCGGGGCACAGCCGAGGCTCCGGAAGCCGCAGGCGCCGGCAGAGGGCGCCCCCGACCCGCGGAGCGAGTGGGCTCTGGCTGGGACCTCTCGGCGCGGGGCTCGCGCTGCAGTCCGGTGCTGACCGCAGCCCGGGACGCGGGCGGAGCGCGAAGTGAGCGCCTGCTGGGTACAGAGACTCCGGCCGGGAGCGCGCGCTCTCCTCGCGAACGGTGAGTACGGGCGCCGCGGGGCACGATTTACCCTAGTTGGGGTCACTTGGAGACGGCGCGGGTAGGACGCGAGACAGCTATCCCCTTGCTTGGTGTGCTTGGGAGAGGAGAGGGTCGCCTCTGACCTTGGGCTTTGGGAGGGCGTAGGGTTGATTCCTCGAAGCTCCGGAGGTCGGGCGGAGTTTTGGGCGGGGGCAATTTACTTGAGGCTTCAGCACCGGGATTTGTCTCGAGAGCCCTGCTGCCTGCTGGAGCTGTCCAGGTGCCCAGGGACTGGCGAGGTGACCACGAGGGCGCTCACCTGGGCCCCGCCCACATCTGTGCCCCCCGGTAGCCCCATCCGGGGGAACCAGGTGTGGCTGTCGCCTACCACTCTGCCTATCAAGCGCAACCCGCCCCTAGGGGAGGGGAGAGGACTCGGGGGCGGGCGGGCTGTGCCCGCGGGAATCCAGCCGGCCGTGCGCACGCCGTGCCAGTTTAGCTCTCTGCCTCGCCTTCCCCAGGCTCCCAAGGTAGCGGGCAGTGCTGTAGGGAGGCGCTGTGTCCTGCCCTGAGGGGGCGAAGGCCGCCCAAGGGTGCCTAGGCGTCCAGCTCCAGGAAAAGGAAGCCAAGCCGCCCAAGTGACTGGTCCTGCAGCTGCCCTCTCCCAAGGGAGCTCCGAGAGTCCGGGGCCCTTTTCCTGGGGCCTGTCCGTTTTAAACAATCCTTAGCAATTAAGCAGCGGGGCGCCACCGCTTCTCTGGAGACCTGACCTGAGATTCCTTCCTCAAACCCGTTAGGGCGAGTTTTGCGCCCGCCCGGGAGAGGCTCTGCGGGCGGCGCGCTTCCCCGAGCATCGAGCATCGCGGAGCCTGTGCCTGTAGAAGTCCACTTTCTGAGCTCCCCAAGAGAGACAACGCTAAGGCGAGGTAGGTGGCCTCGTCGGGCGTGCCCAGTAAGTGGTTGGACTGAGTGAAGCTACTATCTACTCAAATCTTTGCGAAAGACCGTGTGTTTTTCCTTTGCTTTTTAGGGCGTTGAAAGAGCTGCTGAATAGTCAGGGGCTTGGAGGAGCAAGACATGTATTTTCAGCTGCATCTCAGAAGGGGAAAAATTCCCTGTCATCACCCCAGAGGATCGACCCTGAAATGTGACTGCGATTGACTGGCAAGGCAGAGGCCTGGGTGACTCTAGGTTGATGACAGAATACACTAAAAAGCCAGTGCTTTCCTTGAGGGAATCTGGGGATGAGCTGGTACCGGTGACAGTGACCTGGAGCAAGGAAGTGAGAAGACAACTGTAGGAAGCAAGAGAGATCTTGCCCCGGGCTGATGCCACTTGCCAAGAGGAAGCTCCTGCCACACACACCCTCTGATGGGATGCTGTGAGGCCCTCCACCCTGGGGAGTACCAGGGGCTGGGGCTGGGCCTGGGCTGCCGGTGAGGACTCCCGGAAGTCACACTGACCCCTTCTCCTTGCTTCCTGCTTGAGGGGCACCAAGCCCTGATGTACATTCCTTCTGGAAGATGACTCTGAACACTTCCAGCATGGATGAGGCCGGTCTGGCCGTGGAGAGGGACTTCTCCTTCCGCATCCTGACAGCCTGTTTCCTGTCACTGCTCATCCTGTCCACTCTGCTGGGCAATACACTGGTCTGTGCTGCCGTCATCAGGTTCCGGCACCTGCGGTCCAAAGTGACCAACTTCTTTGTCATTTCCTTAGCTGTGTCAGATCTCTTGGTGGCTGTCTTGGTCATGCCCTGGAAAGCTGTGGCTGAGATTGCTGGCTTCTGGCCCTTCGGGTCCTTCTGTAACATTTGGGTAGCCTTTGACATCATGTGCTCTACCGCGTCCATCCTCAACCTCTGTGTGATCAGCGTGGACAGGTATTGGGCCATCTCCAGCCCCTTCCAGTATGAGCGGAAGATGACCCCCAAGGCAGCCTTCATTCTGATCAGTGTAGCATGGACTTTGTCTGTTCTCATCTCCTTCATCCCTGTGCAGCTCAGCTGGCACAAGGCAAAACCCACAAGCCCCTCTGATGGGAACGCTACTTTCCTGGAAGAGACCACAGACAACTGTGACACCAGACTGAGCAGGACCTATGCCATTTCATCCTCCCTAATAAGCTTTTACATCCCGGTGGCCATCATGATTGTCACCTATACCAGTATCTACAGGATTGCCCAGAAACAAATACGACGCATCTCAGCCTTGGAGAGGGCAGCCGTGCATGCCAAGAATTGCCAGACCACCGCAGGTAATGGGAACCCTGTCGAATGTTCTCAGTCAGAGAGCTCCTTTAAGATGTCCTTCAAAAGAGAGACTAAAGTTTTGAAGACTCTGTCTGTGATCATGGGGGTGTTTGTGTGCTGCTGGCTCCCTTTCTTCATCTCGAACTGTATGGTGCCATTCTGTGAGTCAGGGGAGACTCAGCCCTTCTGCATTGATTCCATCACCTTTGATGTGTTTGTGTGGTTTGGGTGGGCTAATTCTTCCTTGAATCCCATCATTTATGCCTTTAATGCTGATTTTCAGAAGGCATTTTCAACTCTCTTAGGATGCTACAGACTTTGCCCTACAACAAATAATGCCATAGAGACAGTCAGCATCAATAACAATGGGGCTGTGGTGTTTTCCAGCCATCATGAGCCACGAGGCTCTATCTCCAAGGAGTGTAATCTGGTTTACCTGATCCCACATGCAGTAGGTTCCTCTGAGGACCTGAAAAAGGAGGAGGCAGGTGGAATAGCCAAACCCTTGGAGAAGCTGTCCCCAGCCCTTTCAGTCATATTGGATTATGACACAGATGTCTCTCTAGAGAAAATCCAGCCCATCACACACAATGGACAGCACCCAACCTGAACTCCTAGAGGAATCCTGTCATGCAAATGCTACAGAGATTTCTTTGGGGCTTGCTCTTAGAAATCAAGGTCTGATGAGACAGTGAGATGTCAGGAGATTCCTTTGCTGCTTTCAAACAGACAACTAAGTATATTTTCAAATACATTCCAGTGTATTTTCTGTTATTCATAGTCCATCGAATAGGGACATACGGGAAGCCACGAGGGACATGTCTTAGACTCCAAAATCATTTTGAAATTTGTCTCATGACATGAACAACTTCACTTAAAAATCAAACCTTTCTGGAAAGGAAATGAGAAGGGTTGCGTTTGCTGTATACACACAGGTGCTAAAACTGTTCCAAGCAAAGTTTTCAGATTGTCAAGGTAGGTGCATGCCTTCATAAATTATTTCTAAGAAAATGAGCCTTACAGTAGGAATGGGAATTTTTTTCAGAATTGAGAAATGCTTTGTTGATATTGATTTTATTTATTTATTGTATTATATGTATATTTTAAATTTATCATAATAAATCTATATTTATCATATTTAATAGGCTAAACAATGAGTTATCTGAGATTGAGCTGCCCATTGAACTAGCACTTTATAAGCCAATGAAACAAACACACAGACTCTGATTCTAAATGTTCATGAATAGCTTCTAGAAACACAGAAAAGGCTGATAGGAAATAAAGTTGTGATGATTTCTTAAAATATACTACCATAAATAAATACAAGGTGAGAATTGACAAATGCTGTGAATGCTTTTTTTCCCCCTAAAATGATTTTGGAAATTAAAAAAAAGCATAGCTACTATTGTGTTCTAAATGTTTTAAATGGCAAAGTCTTTTCCCAGGAGAATTTGCAGTTCTGTAAATATCTTACATAAAATCCAGTTTAAGAAGAACACAACTTTGCATTTATGATCTTAAGTGGTAAGGAAAAGTATATGGCACTTTGTATTTATGTAAAATAATTGGCCCTTTCTGTCTTTTCTCATTTCATGCTTCATATAGCTTTTCTGAACCAAACAAATGGCTGTCCTGGACAGAGACATGTAGCAAGGACAGTGAGTTTCCTTAATTCTGGAGCCACAGTAGCTCCACTGATGGACTAAGCTCAAACCCTGTGTCCTTGTCTTTCCAGCTCAAACCAAGCCACTCAGTGGGGCTAATTTTGTAGTGCTTTAACCTGAACTTAGAACTGATTTTTAAAAAATGGTCTTTAAATGTTAATGGTATGCTAATTAATAAATAGTGCCTCATTATCCTCAAAGAAGATACAGTACTTTTGTTGATAGAAAGAATGAGAGACCCCGTTCTCTTCGGGTGTGTTAAGCAACCCCAAAGCTATCAGCATCTCTCTGACAAATGCCGTTTCTTTCTCTGTGCTTTGGAATCAGGTTCCCATGTCATAGCATGGACTGTAAAAAGTACCATCAGCCTCCCTTGCCAGATACTAATTCATGTCGGGTATTTCAACAGAGCTTTTTTTTTTTAATGTTTACAAGGTAGTATTCTTGATAAGCAATTGACTTAACATGTAGATGAAATTGGTAAAAAGAACAAAAATCTGCTGAAGAATATTTCCTGGGTCAGGTCTGTGCTATATATGTATTGTGAATGTTTTCTTAATTTTTCTGCCTGTATGCTTTCTTACATATAATAAAATTATTTTGTGAACTCAAATCCACCTGAATGAGTTGTGTTGCATTTGTTAAATGTATTTTTAAAACGAATATCTCAGGTGTACAAATAAGAAAACAAGAGCATTTTCAAGTATACATTGCTTTTTTGAAAAAATTGGAAATTTCTTCGCTTGTGTATGTCACATGTTACCTTTGAATAGTTAAGCAGAAAATGTTTTTTGATTTGGGATATATACTCTCTTTTCCTTCTGTCTTAATTTTTTTTTAAAGAAAGCTTTCTGCACTTGAGGAATTACTCTACTTTAAAATTTCCAGGTTTGAAAGCTTCCTGAAAATTTGGCCTTTTATTCTAAAATAAATAAAGTAAAAATCACTTCTCAGCCTTTTGGCTAAGATCAAGTGTAATAAAGCAAAAATTTCAGAAAAGATTGTGGTCTACTAGGGGGTTGTTATGAACCCCATAGAAATCACTGTATATGTGGTATTCATTTTAAATGTAAATTATAACAGATTTTTTTTCAAGGGAGAATATACAGGTTGTGATTGTGGGCTTATCAAATTGTCAAACAGGGCATATTCTTAAGTCCTGCTAAAACTGCTACTTAGATATTAATATGCTAGTCATTTTTTTCATCCTGGGGAAAGAGAAGGGCTCAACAGCAGGTGATGTAGAAATTAAGGGTTAAGTTTATCACACAGCACATGGTGTCTATTTCAATTCCATATTTGACTTCCCTAGGCTTTGGCATGTAATGAACATATCTAGAATGAGTACTCATAAAGCATCATGCCTTTTCTTTTTGCTTCATAGATTTTTGGATATCTTTACTTTTTAAAGTTTAATTTTATTCTTAAATCAAGCTCAGCAACACAAGCTACAATGCTCCAACGGAATTGCCACTATCTAACTGGTGATACATGACACAAAAGCCTTCCTTTAGTATTTCTTCCCACTGGCAAGAGTGAAAAGTAAATAATATGTTAGAAATGATATTAAATAATTTTATAATTCAATATTTTTAAAATGAGAATATACTTTTGATTTCCTGGTATATTGGATTGATAAAAGGATCTTATGAAATGTTAATTTGACTGAAAGAATCTTTCAGCTGGGTTAATTTGTAACTATAAAAGCAAAATTACAATATGACTTTCCTTTTATTTTTGTCTGTGGTGATGAGTCTTAATAATGCCGAATGTATGTGAAACACTTTACCAAGTTAGAGTCAAATTAAAAGATCTTTTTTCCCCCTTTTATCTAAGAAGTTGCCCGTCCTAATCAAATATGTACACTGGTCTTATTAGTACACTGACAGTAGGTAGGGGATTGAGCAGTGGGTTTCCATGAATAGATTTGTGGTATATTTGGGAAAGTATTGGTTTCTCTTGAATCTTAGCAGGTCACACTCTCTGAATCTGAGTTAGCTAATTCATTAAATGAGAAAAGCAAAACTTCTACATCAACTTTTCCAGTGGAGGGGGTCACCCTATCCCCCAAGGAAATCAATGTGTAGTCCAGCTTCAGGAATTTCTGAATCATCTACTTGTGGGGGACCCCATCATGATTTCTCCCCTCATGCACCAATAGCATTTCATCCTATTTCTACCTCCTACCTTAGTTCCAGCCCCTCTGCCCAGAAGAAGGCCTCAGTTGGGGGACCGGAATGTAGGAAGATCGGGATTTGTTTCAGACAGGGCAGTGTTCACACTGCAGCTATCATTTTTCAATCAGAAAATTAAAACCAATTTTCTGGGGATTAGCCAATGTATGCACTGCTCGGACACTGTTTGCCCATTTTTGAAGTGGAAATAGACATGCAAGCTCCTGTGAGGGTTAAAAGGAAACTAGTGTCTGCAGAGCCCTGAGCACGAAGATGTTCAGTCCTTGATTCCTTGCAGGATTTCTATTTTGAAGGCATCAAGCACTTAATATTTGTTGCATTAGTAATAATGGATCTGCTATGCATTTGACTTTCTGAATGCTTGCCTGATAGAATGGAAATGACTTTTCGAACACATGTAGTTTGGGATTCCCCCAGATATCATTGTCTTTTGCCCAGTTATCTATTATTCCAGAAGTAAGTGGCTTTTCATATCTGCGTGGTTAAGAAAATTGGCTTAAGTTACCACTAGATAGTGACTGAATAAATCTAACCAAAATATTCTACTCTATCCACTCTGCTTATCTTGCAGAATTTGTTTCAGGAATAATCAGCTGATAGCCTGCTGACTCTAGACTATCAAAGGCAGGACCTGCTAGTCTGCATGGTCTCATTACTGGGGTTATTTGAAGGACTAACCTGGTAGATCACGAGATTGTGCTACACCACAGACTCGATGCACCACTTTCAATGTGAGATTCCCTGGACAGGAAACATAACAAACCAACCTGTTTATTTTATAGAGGATCAAGGAATGGTGAGCATTACAGTAGAAGCAACACCTCTAACATTTTATTACAAGGCCAAACTGCATGACCTTCTGTCATGTTAAGTAACTTCCATGTGATGCACAGACTTAAAAAAGCAGCATTTGGACTTTAGTCTGTTACATCATTCAAGATTTGTGAGTTGTAATTCAAATAGTATTAGAAGCTCAAGAATAATCTCTGATTTAGAAAGTGTTTAACTTTCTAATCATTATGAGAAAATGTCCTAAAGCAGTTAGAATTTTTCTCATATTCATAGAATAAACATCCCCTCTGCTCTTAAAATTGTGAAGTATTTTCAGCCATTTAAAAGGATCTGCTCTGAGCTGCATTCACAGAAATGAGAGTACCTCTCAGGCCCCTTTGAGCAGAGATGCTGGCAATATGGCAGGTGAGAGTAGGACCCAGGAAACTAGATTATAGGGTCAGATGTTTCATTTCATTTAAACAAATGGATGTGCTACTTCATATCCCTTGAAAATAAGTTAGCTTTGTCTCTAGCCAATAGGTAAGGTTAGGTAAGCTGACTGCTGTGATATATTCTGGTTTAATATTAGGAGATAGGAGTTCTATTATGGGCAAAATCTGATTCTGATAGCTTCGCCCAGATAAATTTCCCAAGTCCCCATTTTCTTTGCTATTGGAAAGCTCACAAAGGGATATTTATAAAATACAAGTAGACCTGCATAATGCCTTTACTTAACGTTCTTCAATGGCTCCCAATTACTTTCCAGGAAAATATCAGTCTCATTTAAGGCCCTTCATGAGTTGGTCCCTGGTGGTCTCTGCAGCCTTATACATTATTATTACCTTGAGGACATTGTCTTGTACGCATTCTGAACTACACACACTTTGTAGAGTCTTTTGTTCTTTTTAGGCTCAGGACACCCTTCCTTGCTGCTCTCTTTATTCCTATTCACCCTTTAGGTTTCCATTAGGCATAACTGCCAGAGGCCTTCCTTGACAACTCCTTTCTGTCTCTACCATCTTTCTTTCCAAATGGTGACCATACTGTCATGAAATAATCTCCTTACTTCCACATTGTCTTCCTAGATCATGAGCACATTGAAAACAAAAGCTGTTTTCTTCCACCCTCCCCTGTACATAGTTGTAAGCACCCAGGATAAGCCACGTGGCTTATGAGAGTTACTCAATAAATCTTTGTTGAATGAATAAAGGAATGAACAAGTCAAAATAGGGAATGATAGGGCCACAATTTTAGTGATGTTTGTTTTCTAGGTGTTTGATGTATCTGTGTCAGTCTTCTAAGTTCTTTCTAATATCTTTGGGTAAAATCACCATCTGATGTTGGAGACCAATAGATTCCTGAAGTCTGACATGGTTGCACAAAAATAATACCATATATATTATAGGAAAAATATATGCACATATAGATACATATACGTGTATATATACATATATATGTGCATATGTATGAATACAATTTGATACAATTTGCATATACTAACCTTTCAGGAGCATTTTCTATGACTCAGACCATGTGCTAGGTGCTAAAGACTCAGAAATGAACCAAATACTGTCACAGTTTCAGAGGAGCTTTATAGTAGAAAGAAAGGAGACAAATATACAAATAAATCAGCACCCCAAAAATATTCTGAAAGCATGGTTCATGGAGGAGGAAAGTATTTTCTTCCAGATAGTGACAATAGTTCCATTTTATTGAGCCTCAGTGACTCGAAGCCTGGCATTGTGCCATGCACAGTCCATTCACTATATCATCCCATTCCCATGTCTACCTTAAGACATGCACATGATTACCATCATCCTCAACTGCCAGGTCAAAATAATAAATATTCAGAAACAGAACAAAAATTAATATTCATAGGGTCATGTAATGCATGCAAGGTTAAAAGACTAGTAAATAATGGGGTGAGGTTTGAATGTAGGGCTGTCTGATTTCAAAGCCTACTTTTAATTCATGAGACTGTTCTGGTTACCAGAAAATAGTCTTACCTAAACAAGTAACTTTTTTTTTTTTTTTTGGTACCAGGGATCGAACTTGGGTCCTTCCGCTTGTGAGGGACCACTGAGCTATATCCCCGGCTCTAAACAAGTAACTTCTTAAGGAGTTTCTAAATGACTTCAAATGTTGGTGGATTTAGAAATATGCTGTATTATTGACATTTTCAAGCGCACACACATACAATGTAGAGAGAAATGTAAATCCCTGTGGATCCATCTCATTACCCAGCTTCAAACATTAATAAGACCAAAGTTGTTGATCTTTGAAAGAGTTAGGTGAGCAAGGACAACATGGGTAGCGAGGTCAACTTTTTGGGTAGAGTATAAAGTTGAAGACAAGCAGAGTATTAAGACATTTAAATTTCAAAGACATGACTTTGTGGAGATCAAAGATAACAAAACAAAAATGGCTTATTCAAGGGCTGAAATATTGTTTGCATATCAATTTGGTCAGGGCACACTCAGTTTATTTTAGCAGACATATGGCTACATCTTTCTGGTGCCCAGCACTGCTTCTGGGGGAGCATGGAGAGTGGGGAATAAGAGGACAGGATCAGGGGATTGTTGGGAGGGGAGTGCTGCTGGAGAGGCTTGGGAACTAG